TTTTGATCCAAACTTGCAAAAGTTATTGTTTTGCCTTACAATCAATAGAATCCCCCAGTCAGCATGGAGAAATCAACACTTTTCCAAAGAATACATTAAATCATGGAGAGAGAAAAAAACTTCTAATCAGAAGAGATCTTAGTATTTGTTTATGAATATAAGCTTTATTGAGTATTTTACTTACAATTAAAATAAGAATAAAATGAATTCAAATTTTTAAAAAAGTATACAAAATAGAAAAGGAGATGGATATAAGAAAAGACATGACAAGAAACGAAAGAACAAAAGCAAAAAAAAAGTGAGAAATATTTAAACAGAATTAGTGACAAGAAATATCTTTTGGCTTCCTGGTATCTTCCAGAGGTCCAGGAAGGCAAAAGATATTTCTTGTCACTAAGAGGTCTTAGTATTTGTAACCTTCTTCTGAAACTCCCCTATCTCAGCCTGGTGTGAGTTTTTGGTTTTGCTGAAATCTTTATCTATTTTTCAACCCATGATTAAGTGAGGCAGTCCAAAACAGCTGGATGACTCCAAGTTAGTGAGGGCTGCTTTGGCCTCTTCAGCCAACTTTCTTACCTCTAAGACTATGTCCAGATGGCCTTGTCTGTAATCATCGCCATACGAATCCAACACCCTCATGAGAAACCTAAAAGGAAGGCATTTGTTAGATAGATGTCCTGAGGAAGCAACAGCCTCACTAACTGTCTTGTATGAGGGCACTCTCATGCAATGAGTAATTACTAGAAGACATTGGGTTAGATTGATTTGAAATGGGATTTAACAAATATTTGAAAGAAGTCTATTAGACACAAGCAGTTAATGAAAACTCCATGTTCAGAAGCAGTGTTGCTACTGTATTGCCCCAGGAGCCAAACAATAAGGGAGGCCGTTCCTTGTGAGTTTCTTTAAGGTATCTTGCCTGCCACGCCTGCAAACAAGGTGTTTACCTAAGTTAAACAGCCTTACTTCAGATGAGAGCTTCCAGATCTGTTGCACTACAATCCTGTTATCTCAAGCCATCATAGAAATCTGCTGTGTGACACAACCAAAAGACCCTTGGGACACTAAAATTGACCTGGGTTTGATCCAGCTGGGCCATGTTTACCATGCACTGAGTAGAAACACCTCTATATCTTTGCTACTAGCACATTACCAGACTCACCTTCTCTCCTGCTTCAGTCGCAGTGTTATTCTCTGAACCTGATGCAACCGATTTAACATCCTCTCATTCACCTGCAACAGTGGATTCATGTTACAAGGATACACTTTAAATTTCTCCTTTATTAGTTTTCCATTTTCCTATCCTTAACAGGATGTGCTATTTGGATCTTTATCTGACACAGCCTCACCGCTTCCCAATTCCTCACTGCTTCCCAATTCCAGAGTCTCTAACTTTTTGTACATCTAGATCAGTGGTTCTCAACCTTGGGTCCCCAGATGTTTTTGGCCTACAACTCCCAGAAATCCCAGCCAAATAACTTTTGGAAAGGGCCTGCAAGCCCATAAAGTTGATGGCCTAAAACATCTGAGGACCCCAGGTTGAGAAGCACTGATCTAGATGAACTGTGGTAGAGTGGACAGAGTGCTGGATATAATGCAGGAGGATCCAGATTCCTATCTCCACACTGCCTCAAAGTATAGTTGATAAGTTTAGCCTAAATACAGTGTCTTAGCCTCACATATCACGCTGGGTTGTTGGGAAGGCATTTCCCATTCTCATGTAGAGAATGGGAAATGGTACGTTGTCACAGCACTTGCTTCTGCAAGTTCAGCCCCTCCAAGTGCTCAGTAGGGTCTAGGAAAGCTACCTGTTTAAAATGCTAGTCCGCCGCTGTAAAGAATGGTGGTTCCGTAAATAATACTGAGCAAGGTCTGGCTTGATATAGACTTCTGCACAAAATTTTGTCATGCCTCTTTCCCCCCTGAATCCCAAATTCCTTCCTCTAATTTTCCTCCAAATTAGCATCTGATAATTTTTTTAAAAAAAGACATTTTTACAACCAAAATTAAGACTGTACATTAAGCAGGCATAAAAACGCTTATGCAGAGTAGAAGCCACAGTAACAACTCACAATTTCCAGATGTGTTAGGGCCATCTACCCTTTTCAACTGAATCCATACCTGTTCCAACTCCTTGCAGCGCCGTGCTAATGCCTGGCACTTGCGTCGTGTCATCTCCTGCTGCCGCAAGACACCTTCCTCTTCCTCTTCTTCTGCTATTCCACCATCAGCAAACTCTACCTCTG